CCAGTTTTAAGTTGACATCTAACAACCGGAAATAGTTTTGCTGTATTGTCGACCAAATCCTTCTGTCTATCGGTGCTTTTCTTGTCTGTTGGCAGTGTTTTAGAAAAGAATTTGTCCAAATTCTTTGGTTGACCAAAACAGAAAAACCAAAAAAAATTTTATCTTTGACTACATTAGTCGATGTTTCTCATCAGATGACTTAATGAATCGACTTTTAGGTGTCTGTATAAGCTGTTCTTTTTTCAGTTTTGTTTTGCTTACCTGTATCTAAGTGCTTAATTTTGTTGCTAAAGTTGTCGTAGTCGACAGTTTTACACAGTTGTGTTGGCTTTAGCTCAGTGCTATTTGTGTTCTTTGTGTTGGTTAGTTAAATTTGTGATCGTCCGACTTTTTTGTGCCATAAAAATCTTTGTTCTGCTTTTTTTGGGTTTTTTTCTTTTTTTTTCTAATTTTTTTAAAACATCTTTGAATGCAAATCCGCACAACGATAAATGTATATTGGTATCTTTGGAGACGTTTTGCTGTTAAAATTTGAAAGCTTAATAGTACTAAAAATTTTTTTGTTGGTATTTTTGAGGTACTTTAGAAAGTGTGTCATTTGTGCTGAAGACGAAATCTACGGTTCTTTAATAAACAGTATGTAAAAACAGAAAAATTTCACACAATTTTATTAAGCTATCATTATTAACAGCCGATAAACAACGATACGAAAAGAAAGCCAAATTGTGGTTAAACACCAACATTAGAATTCAGAACTCAGACTTACTTTGAGCCTTGAGAACTGCTGCATTTGAGATGTTGGCACGAAAAAAACCTCTGTAATCTTCTGGATTGTCTATAAAATTGTCTCAGTACATAACTCTGAAGAAAGCATCATCTTTTTTATCATTGAAGCTAATTAAAAATTGAATCTATCTTGATTTAAGAAGACAAAAAATTAAAGGTAAATAGATCAGTCGGAAGAGTTATGTTGCTTTATTACATCTGTTTCTCTATCTTATTAAATTGATCTTTTAATCGTTTGACAATTGCTGATCAATTTCCTCTTGCCTGATTTTTGATGGATGTTGACAATCAACATGAAATATACTTTTCTGCTTATAAATTACAGTAATCTAGTTCTTATTATTCTTAGTTATTCTCGTCTTCTGTCTTAATGCTCGATTTTTGTGCTTAGTGTTTAAAAGCAATTGATATTTAGCCAGTTCTGGTCGTTGTCAGTAGTAGTTGATTAATGCACAAAGTGAAGAAAACCAGTCTAGAAGCTTAGTTTTTTAATCCAACTTTTTAAAGCATAATCAAATCGATTATTATTCGGTTTGACGACAAAGTAGAAAACAAAAACGGGCTGTAAATAGTGCTTCGGTGTCGTAACTTTAAATCACTTTAAATAATCGTCTTTAACAGAGAAATGTAGTTGAGCAACTGAAAACGGAGGCGGAGGTGGGACGGAGATTGAAGAGGCTGAAAAGGATGAGGTGAAGAAGAGGGGGAAGAAGAAATTCATTAGTCATTTTAAATACATTTAACTTTGTGGTATGTCTGTCTTTAAGTAAGTTTTTTTTTAACTTTATCTAATTATGTAAATAATGAAATGGAAAAAAAAATTGGTGAAAAAAAGACAAACCAGAAGAAAAAAGCAGTCGAATAAAACTATCTATTATTTAGACGTATTTTCTCTGTGAAACAATTTCTAAGTGTTTAGAAAAAGTATTGTGAAATTTTTTTCTAAAAAACTGAAACAAAAAATTATTGAAGTTTTTGCAGTGATACAGAGGGAAGCTAAAAATTTTAAATTATTTTATACATTGGTTACAGCAATTGTTTTTAGTGAACTCAGTGTCGTCGAAGTGTATTACTGAAAAAAATTTTTTATTATGTATAAAAATTAAAATTTCACATGACTTTTTTTTTGTACAAAAACAACATCTTTTTTTCAACTTATTACACTTCATTGTTTTTTAATCTTTTGTTTTCTTTCCATACAAACACACAGAGAATTCTAAAGTTTACAGAAAACTGTTCAAAGCATTTGATTTATATAGGTACTTTCTATTCATTTTTTTTTTTTCATATTTTTATCTGTCATTCTCTTTTTTTTTTTTGTTCTGTTTTTTGAATAGTTTCCTCCTTATTTTTAACCTTAATAAACTGTCAAATACGAATCTGAAGCAGTACAAAATGAGAGAACTGATAAAAACAAAGCAAAAAAAAAAAAAAAAAAAAAAAAAAAA